AAGAACTAGAAGATGCAAAGTAAATAAAGGCTACGAAGTTCCAAATATTGTAATAAAATCTTGGAAAATCTAAGAATAGTAATTTAAGAATAAAAGGAATATCATTAATATAAAATCTTGTAATTCCATTAAGAATTTTTATTTTAGTAGCCATAGTGTTGCAAGGTTGTATAATATTTTTACTTGATTATTTTGTTATATCATTTGTTGCTTGCAATTCTTTAGTTGCCTAACTTGTATAGTTTTATAATTCTGGTAATTGTGCAATATGACTTTCAAGAATATGATCTTTCAACAAAAAAAAATTAGAGTGATAAAGTTTGCTGTTAAAGTTCTTACAACTTAGCAAATAAATTAAAAATCAAAAAATATATAAAGTGAAAACCAAAGCCTGCTTCTTGTTAAAATAATTTTCTACAACTGAAAACTCTAGAGATTTGAAATAATCTAAATTTTGTAGGTTTTAAAATTTAATTTAACAAGTTTAAAATGTGAATAACATCTTTGCGTAATAATATTCTATTATGCCTAGATGATTTAATAAATGGCTTGTTGAATAATAACTTTATAGATACGTTAAATTGCTAGCTATTGTATAATTGATCTGTAATAAAAATAATGAAATAATATTACAACAAAAAAATTGAGGGAAGATTCAATGTATTCCGAAGTGATGAGTAAAAACTGTGGTCATAATAAGCAGGATTATTTGACTGTTTTGAAAATGTAATTTTACAAATTTTGAAATAGAAATTAATATTTTTTTTTAATATAACATAGTTTATTTCTAAAGCAATTTTTTAAAAGATGAAAAAAAAAAGCTATTAAATTAATAAAAAATAAACCCAAGGAGGGGGAGGAAAAAATATGTCTGGTTGGTGTAAGAAAAAAGCAAAGTGTGGAAATAAGCAAAATTAATAAAAATCTGGATAGTGTTTGTTTGGCACTTCAGAGTTTATGCATATGTATAATTATTAGAAATGCATATGCATATACAAACATTTAGACAAATATATTTACACTAACACAAATGCATATATAAATATATACATGCACACAAACACACACAGACACACACACAGATGTGTGTCTGTGTGTGTTTGTGTGCATATTACTTTAGGAATTGCTAGAAAAAAAGAATAGAGTTAAAGAGCAAGAATGTAGTTGACAGAAGACTTGAAAAGTTGTATGAGTCAAGAAAACATGAAGATAGGAGAGAGTTCCAAACGATTGAAGTGCAAGGCAAAAAGCTAGATGAATAAAAGTTTTTAGAGCATGCAGGGACAGATACAGTAAAATAATGAGACTTTGCTGAATGATGAGTCTAGCGAGAATGAGCTTTGGTTGATGGAACTTGAGGTGATGATATCTTTATATATATATATATATATATATATATATATATATATATATATATATATATATATATATATATATATATATATATATATATATATATATATATATTCATATATATATTCATATATATATATGTATATATATATATATATATATATATATATATATATATATAAATGTTAGCTTCTTAGAGCAGGGACCATGATTTTTGTTAAAAAGAGAAAGCGATGCAACTTTATGACAATGGGAGATGGGATCAAGCTTGGTAGGATAGAACTACGACAGGCTCAAACTACAATTACATTGAATTTTGTCTAAAAGATAAAGAGCATCATTAGAAAAACCAGCCCAAATATGATAACAGTATTCTATACAGGAACGAATAAGAGGTAGAGGTAGAGAATGGAATCAGTAGTGAGAAAATGACTAGCACAATTAAAGAGGAACAACCTTATCAGAACATGGTTTTTATGAGAGGTTTGTAGTGAATCATAATCCAAGAAGAGGTAAAACAGAAGACTAAGTGAGAAGTTTTTCATAATTTAATATAAAAATGTCGACAGTATTGCAATAGTTATTTGCAATAAATAACTTATGGAAGGAAGAGTACAGCAATAAGATTCAATAATCGAATTAAAAGAAAAGTTCTTTGCAGATAGTTTTGCCTTATCCTTAGGAGAGATAATAAGGTCAGTCCCATTGATGAGATATGGAATGTTAGACCTACCTTTGTTAATGAGGCTGTTGAAAGTTTTCCTAAAGTCTCTAGAGCCTAACTTCTGAGATTAGATATGAGATTTAATGAACTGAGAATAATAAAGCTTAACATCATACAACACCTTTTTACATTGATTTCTTGCAATAATAAATAAGTGTTTGTTCTCAAAAGAGTTGTTCTTTTAAAAAAGATTTAAAAAATAATTATGATAAGATATAGCGGTTGCATAAAACTGTGAAAACCATGGAGTAGAATGAGAATCGACTTTAAAATGATAAGAAGGTATAAAATCTTCAATTTCTGCCAGGATCCAGAAGTTTACGTAGGAGGCGCATTTATTAGCAGAGAAAGAAAAACATCAGCCCAAGAACTGTCTTAAAGATAATCATGAAAAGAATCCCATTCAGCTTTAAGGTATTAGTAAGGAGTGCGATGACAGAGTGAGTCCAAAGAAGTATGAGATAAACAATTTATAGAGATCATTGCTTGGTTAGAACCACCTAAGGAAAAAAAAGAGAAATTGAACTCAAGCTAGGGTCAGAAACAAGACACAAATCAAGGAGTGAAAGTAAATGATTAGGGTTTAAGGAGTAAAAGTAAATGATTAGGTTTCTCTGTAAAATGAGTCACTAAGTTACCTATCTGAGAAAGAGATTAAGAAATGCAGAAGTTATGGGCTTTAGTGCCAGCAGGATCAGTATTGTTATAGCCTAGCTAGTCTCCAATAACAACAATATTGGCAGGGGGTAAAGAGAAAGGGTATGGTCAAACTGATCAGATTACCCCTAAGCCAACCATTGATGCATGGATTAGGGGTATACTTTTTTCAATCAAAGCATCCAAGACTATTGGTACCCATCAATACTAAGATTTGAGAAAGGAACAGGCAAATTTAAATTAGATTCACAAAGAGCAAGCAAGTCTGATGAGTTTTGCAAGAGGTAAGATTCAACTGATAGGAGGTTTCGAAAACTACAAATATTTGTGAATGATATATTAAATGAATTAGGTGACAAGGATGGTTTTTTATGTTTAATATTTTGTTTTACTTTAGACACGATTTAAGTTTAAAGTGAACTTGACTCATTTATAGATAGGGCATGGTGCCCCACACAATAAGCTATGCAATTGCAACAAAGCTATGCAATTGCCCTACACAATAAGCTATGCAATTGCAACAGCTTTGCTATTCAACCTAAAGTCATAACTTAGGGCTCCTTGTGTGGTTTTTTCAACTACAAAGATGTATTGTATTCGAAAAATCTTTTTTGAATACAGTATTCCTTATATTGTAGTCAAAAGAGACTTTTATAATAAAAAAGGTCTTTTTCAACAACGTTTAAGCGACTTCAACAATTAATGTACATTTTAATGTTGTGTAAAAGTTAAAACAATTAAAATAATGCAGAAGTACATTAAGTTTTGATCTTTTTTTAAAAAACTGCAATAAGTAGCTGTTAATATATTATGTACACAAAAATCTCTTTAAAAACCCTCCCCTACCCCTATGTGTACGTAAACTTGGTGGTCTTAACCCTCTCGGTGGTCTTACCTCCCCCACCCCCATTCAAGTTTCATATGCTCAGTGGTCTAACCCCTCTACCCAATTCCATTTCTGCACGCAAACGTGATCACTTTTGTTTTGGTGCTGTTCAACCTTTATAATCTTTACAAGCCTTTAACATCACTTTTTATTAATGGGCAAGTAAATGTGAACTGCTGTCTCAATTTTTTGTGTTTGCATACATACATTTGTTGGACCCTTCCCCTACCCCCAATATGCATTCGTATGCAAAATGCTCAACTTGGAACACCTCCCTTCCTCCCCCCTCGGTGTGTAAGTAATAAATGGATGGCCCTTAATAATGACTGGAAATTTTTTTTTAATGATAGTGTTTTGTTTTTTTTAACATGTTTAAAACATGTGCTACATTGACTATCTTATAGCCTACTGAAACAAGGAAGTGTTGCTACATCAACTGATGGTTTGTTTTGGGCAAGAAATCGATCATTTAAAAAAAAAAAAGAATTTGTTCTAGATTTTAAGCTTTTTCTGGTCTGGTTTTATTAGCTTTCTCTTTAAAGCTACAGTTTAAGGAAGAAACTTTTCTACTACCATGCAAGACTGTGTATATATATATATATATATATATATATATATATATATATATATATATATATATATAAATATATATATATATATATACATATATATATGTATATATATATATATATATATATATATATATATATATATACATATATATATGTATGTATATATATCTTATACTTGATTCAACTGACAAATAGCCTGACTCGCAGTGGAGTGCTGCTACATCAACTGAGGGTTTGGTATGGGTCAGCAACCTTTTCATTCATTATTCTTTGTTTTCCCTCATCGTTTTCTAAAAACGCTCATTTAATTTAGGCTAGCAAAAAAAGTGAGCAATTGCGCATATAAATATGCTATAGTGGATATATATATATATATATATATATATATATATATATATATATATATATATAATTAAACATTTTTCAATCCTATATTAAACAAGATTAAAAAGCTTACGTTGAAAATATTTCAAAGAACAAAAAAAAAGCAACACTATTAGCTATAATAAAACTGGGGTAAACAACAACAACAGCAAACTAATTCAAAAAACAGCAATAGTAAAGATAAAATTAAAAATTACTATCTGATTTTAATAGATCCAATCCAGAACAATTTCTTAATTACTACCCTAAAAAAATATAACTGCACTATGGACTCATTAAAAACGACTCAAAGCTTAACACTTTAAAGTTATAAGTAATAACATTAGTCTTTGTGAGTTTTATTTATCAATTTTTTTATTTTTCAAGTTAATAGTTTATTACTTTAAGATTCTAATTAAACATTTTTCTTTACTTTATATTTTAGAATAATATATAACAAGAATGATCTCAAATTTTGGTTCTTGGGTTCTTAAATGCAAAGTGAGAAAATTTTCTACTTCTTTAAAAAGTTTTGCAGCTGCACACAGAAAGAAAATGGGTAAATGGTTCACTTTATATCACTATTTAATTTTGGTTTGGTAAAAAAGCAACCTAATATTAAAAATAAAAATATTGTTTAATAGTTTGAAATTTGTAAAATTAAACATCAAGTGATAGGGCTACTTCATTTCTTTAGTGATCAACAAAATTGTTTTATATTTTTTATTTAAATGGAAAAAATAAAGAATGATTATTTAAGCTGCTTCTAAGTTACTACACTATATGTTATAAAATAAAATTTTGATTTTGTTAAAATCTAGAGTTCTTCTTTGTCTTGTTTTCTTGGTCTGGAACTGCGAAATTTATTTTTTGAGCATTATTGGTTTAACCCTGTATATATATATATATATATATATATATATATATATATATATATATATATATATATATATATATATATATATATATATATATATATATATATATATACACACATAATTACATATATATACATAAATACATATATATACATAAATACATATATATACATAAATACATATATATACATAAATACATATATATATATACACACAGGGGCTATTCTAGACCGTTTCTGTTTTGGGTTTACTGCCACCCAAATTTTTTCAAAGAATATACCCTGATATATATTATGCGGAACTGAGGTATTCTCATTTTTTTTTACATTTGCTCTGGGTTAAATTTATTAAGTGTTGTTCAAGGATGACAAATGATAAAATAAAATATGTAAGGCATAAAAACAAGATTTAATTATAATAATGTTAAAACTTGGATTTAATAGACTTTCAAACTCTAACAATTATGTTGTCTCACTATCAATACTAATGCGTTATTTATTTATCTATATATTAATATTTTTTAGCGAAAAAGTATATATCTATTATAAATACAATAAATTATTATTTAGATTTAAATAATGAATCTGATATAAAACCTTTGTACATGGATGCTCAAGCTACAACACCATTAGTAAGTTAACTAAAATTATATTATTATTGTTATTATTATTATTATTATTGTTATTATTATTATTATTATTATATAATAAAAAGTAATGATAGCAGTATTAACAATTAATTTGCAAACTAATAAATTTTTATGTCAAAAATGTCTTAGAGAAATAGTAAAAAATGTACTGTTTTCTAAAATATTAAATTATTATTTATTAACAGTTATTACTTAGATAAAAAAGAAAAATTTTAAATAAATTATGAGAAACAAGATTTTTATAAATGTCAGTCTAAGGACACGTTTTTACTATTAGGAGATATACACTATATCTATATATAAAAAAAGAAAGTGAAAAAATTGAAGGAATCCACTAACCAATCACTGATTTTTTTATTTATATTTACTTTATGAACAATTTTAAAACCAAGGCCAAATTTTTAATAACATAAACCAAGTAAATTTGGTGAAATTTAATTGCAAAATGCAAAGCAGACAGTTATTTGTCCACTTTACGAAACGGTCCATTTTAGGATGTATTTTTCATACATGCATACATATATATATATATATATATATATATATATATATATATATATATATATATATATATATATATATATATATATATATATATATATATACAGAAGCGATTTTACAAATAAAATGAGAGGGGGGTGAATATCCTTAAAAATTACCCACTAGCTTCTTTAAAAATAAAAAAAAGGTTCTCAAAACAAATATATATATATATATATATATATATATATATATATATATATATATATATATATATATATATATATATATATATATATATATATTAGGGATATGACTTTTTTAACTTTTTATACAATTTGGACAACCCCATATTATTTTTGGATGAGTTTTTGCTATAAAACAATGAAGAAATGTTTATTTTCCTTCAAGTGTAAAAAAATGTCACGCCCCTCGGCTGAAATGATTTTTAATACAATATAGATAGGAATATAATATACTATACATATTACATATGGGCCAGAAAACATAAGTTAAAGAAGTCATAACCCTCTATATATATTTTATTATATTATATTATTATATTATATATAATAAAATATATATAGACTGTTAATATATATTATATATATAATTTTAAATACATACCAGACGTATGCATTACCACTTTATAATTCCTAGTTTTTGACTGCCGTGCCTAATTGTTTATTAATTAGTTTCAGATTTTTTTGTGCTGCTTTTAGTTAAAATGGCATACAAATACTGCCAATCAAGTGTTGAAAAAAATAGAGACATAAAAAAAATCTTGTGAAATTTCAAGATTCACATAAAAGTAGACAGTCTCAAATGTTAGAAACATCTTTTCAAAATATTCCAAAATGCCATTAAAAAGTGATATTGTTAGCAGGTTTAAGTATTTGTCTAGTACTGATGTGAAAGCCAAAAAGCAAAGTATAGATCTTATTTCAGAAGAAGTTATAAGTTTGTGGAAAGAACAATTAAATTTCCCATGTCTGACAGAGTCAGTGAAGTGAAAGATTAATGATGTTATAGAAAAATATGAAAGTCTCAGAAAAAAAGGGAATGCCGACCTTCTGCAAAAAGAGATTTTTGATATAACAAATCAAAATGGCATTTAGTTATCATCTGAAGATAAAAGATTTTATGAAATTCAGTTACAAAGCAAAGGAGAAATTGGATATGCTACTTCAAAGCTGGCAGGGAAGAAGACTATTCATCCATCAATTGTGCAAAAACTTTCCAGCCAGCCTTCAGCATCTAAAAGTTTTTCTTCATTTACTGAAAGTAGTAAAATAGAAAGAGACAACTCTAATTCCGAATTTGAAGAAACTGATGAACAATTTGAGATAGATAATGAAATTACAGATGAAGAGTATAATAATTTAAAGAAAAGACGTAAAAAATATAGTAGTTGTAAAATAGCAACAAAGTTAGTAGTTTGTGCTAAGGTATCAACTAAGAAAGCTTTTAAAATAGGTAAAATACTGTCCTCAGAAGGCATACATGTTCCAGCGCCATCACAGTCTGGAATATGCAAGGCTCTTTTTAATGAAGCAAAACAATTTAAAGAAACTTTAATTCAAGATTTAAAGAATGAGAATTGGAGTCTACACTTCGATAAAAAGCATATAGACCAATGGGAGTATCAGGTTGTCGTTCTTAAAAATGAAAGAAGCGAAATAAAGTTGGGCGCACTGAAGTTAATAGATGGAAAATCTATCACTATTATTAATACCATAGCTGATATTATAGATGAATTTAAACTATGGAATTCAATTAAAATGATTGTGACAGATACTACAAATGTCAATACCGGAAAGAAAAATGGTGTTGTTGTAAAACTTCAGGATATTTTTCAAAAAAAAGGATTACAAAAACCTCAATTTGTACCATGTCAACATCATATCTTGGATAGAATACTTAGACTAGAAATGGAAGAAAAATTGGGAGAAAATCCGAACTCACCAAACATTAATTACTTTTTTACTAACGAGTTGTTAGAACATTATGAAACACTGAAGACAAATTTTTATAATGGTACAGAAGAAATAAAGGACACAGGAGGATGGCGAGATGACATGAAGTTTCTGTTTCATCTGACGAGAACCTACCGATACTATGACCAAAATAAAATATTTCCTAATGTAAGATTTCAAAAAATCCCTTATATCAGTAATGCTCGGTGGAGTTCAAGAGCTATTTTAGCGTTGTTAGCCTACATTCTTATGCCAAAAACAAGAAACAAACTTGAATCTGTATGTACCTTTATTTCTTACAAGTGGGCAGACTTTTGGTTTGACGACCAAACCTATAAAGAAAACACTTATTCAGACCTTCATGAAGTTTTATTAAACAAAAAGAAACCTCTTGCTACATTTACAAGTCATTGGAATCCAGAACCATCAGCAATCAACATTCCCAGAAGTAATCAATGTGCTGAAAGAGCAATTAAAGTAATGGAGGAGCTTTATAGATTGTGCAGAAATAAAGACAATCTTCCACTTCGTTTCATTTTGTCTAATAAACAATAACTGTATGTATAAATAAATGTATTTAAATTGTATAAAATGTTTTTCCTGCATTGTATATAACACTATGCCATGTATTAATTGTTAGAATAAATTATGTTTTTTTATAGAATCATATGAATGAACATGTTTGCAAATAGAAATGATTTTGGTCATTAATTTTTTTAAAACCTTTTTAAATCTTAATGTGCTTTGGGGCATGACATTTTTTTTGAACATCGTGAAAGTAATAATATTTTCGCATTTTATGCGTAAAAACTCATCCATTTTTGGGCCAGGGAAATTTTTTTAAAAAAAGTCATATCCCTAATATATATATATATATATATATATATATATATATATATATATATATATATATATATATATATATATATATATATATATATATATATATATATATATATATATATATATATATATATATATATATATATATATATATATATATATATATATATATATATAGGCTTGGTCGGGAAGCGGGTGCGATCGCACTCGATAACTTACCATGGAAATAATATTTAGTTGCGAAAAACCGACCAGATATTTTATTCGTTTTGAGAAAATTTAAGTTTATGTATGTTTCCTTGTTTGTCTGCAAAATAATAAGTTCATTTTATTGTAAATTTTAAAACATTTTGTTTGATGGACTTACATGGAAACATACATATTCTTGAATGTTCCAATGATATATATTTTGATATATATAATGATATATATTGTTTATATATCATTGGAATGTTCACAAACATCTTAGTGCAGAAAAATAAAAAAAGAGTATTCGTAAACACAAAAAACCCACCAAATCTACGAACAACTAATTCTATTGGTTCAAAAAATACTAACCGAAATTTCTAGAGTATTCAAAAAATACTAACCGAATGTCCTGAGTATTCTATTGAAGTATTTTAAAAAATTGTAATTTTTGAATTTTGTTTCGTTTTTGTTGAGATTTCAGGCATAAATTATTTTAAGAATATACTATCAAACGAACTATTATTTAAATTCTTGGAGCCACATCTACAAAGCTATTTAATGTTTTTAACTAACATTATTTGGTTACAATAATAAATGTTTTTAATTTATATTTTTTAACTTGTCAACGTTTTGTAAATACATTATACATTTTATTTTTTTAAATTATTTTTTAAAAAATACATCCCTTATGTATTAAAAAATACATAAGGGATGTATTTTTTATGTATGTAATGTATTTTTATTTATGTTACTTTATGTATGTGTATTTTATCCAAATATAATCTTTTAAAGCAATTTGTGCTATTGATTTTGTAAACAAAAATACTTTCAATAATAACTGCGTTTTTGATGGAATTATTAATAATTGAGAAAATTAATACAGAAAATTTTAACCACTAATCCATTTTCCTCAGTGTACCCGATAACTGATTCTTTCTCCCAAGAAAGAAAAGTTTTTAAGTTCTTAGAAATTGGTTTACTAACTTCAATTATTTTTGCTTCAGCCATTCTTACAATCTCGTTATACTTAAAGTAACTTTTTCTCTTTTAAATACTAATCAAAATTATAAAGCCCACTCACTAAACATCACCAGCAGTATTTGAAGCAGTTCCGCTTCCTCCTCACAAAGTAATTTAACGTTTTTTGTTAATTTCTATCTAGCTAATTGAATTTCTACAGTAACTCAATGATATAATTATTTCATTTGTTTATCTTACTAAGAAGAATTGTTTCAAATGTGTTGAACTTTTTAAACTACGCGAAGCATAAAACAGTTATTGAAAAAACGTTTTTATTTATAAATAAATCATCTGGTTGAATCTCTCATCAGTCCAGTTAATCTTAATGCTCTTTTTTGTATGTTTTTGAAATGTTCTCAAAACGACTAAAAAGTCTGCCTAGTTTTTCGCAACTAAATAATATTTCCATATATATATATATATATATATATATATATATATGTATATATATATATATATATATATATATATATATATATATATATATATATATATATATATATATATCCTTATAATGTAGTCGAAAGAGTCTTTTAATGTAAAAAAAGTCTCTTTCGACTACAATTTTGATTATTTGTTTTTCTTTATTTATTATTCGTTTTTTAAACTATATCTTAATTTGTATTTTTTTTCTTATAATTTATATATATATATATATATATATATATATATATATATATATATATATATATATATATATATATATATATATATATATGTATATATATATATATATATATATAAATATATATATATATATATATAAGATTAAAAAGTTCTAGCTTTATAAAACTTGTCTGCCAAAGAAGGAGTTCCTTTTTGAAAAGTAGATAAATAATAACCTGTAAAACTCATAAAATTTTCTTCATTGAATTGATCGAATTTTAATGACATGTAGCGTGAATTTTTAAATTAAATATTAGCTCGTAAATATTATATTGCGTTTGATTTAACTGCCTTTAAATACGCAAAAGCGAAGTTTAAATTTTTTATATCAAGTTTAAAAATAATATGTTTATCTTAATATTCAATATATTCAATTTAAAAATAATATGTTTATCTTAATATTATATATAAGACATTATTATACTATATTACTATAACAAACTTGTTTTCTTGCCTTTTTTATTATTGATAAAAATAGTTACATGAACGCCATATAAATACTTTTTTGGCGCTAAAAGTGGAGCTTAAAAACAAAATTGACACTTAGCATATTATATTTTTTTAAGTAAAAAAATTTACTTAATTTTTATAAACTGGTAATGCAATTCAATGTAAACTAACAAGGTTTTCGAGAGAAAAAATCTCAATAAAACTTCAAGTCTATCTAAAAAAATGCGCAGTATTGAATTTAAACTATTTCATTTAAAATACAAAGATCTACAACAATAAAAATTCTGAATATTAAAAAAAAAAAAAACTACAATTTCACTAGCCTAAAATAAAATAATATATATAAAATAATATATATAAAAATAATATATAATTATTTCGATTGGATAGTTGGGTTCCGTAAAACTCAGATACACAAGAAGCTAGTCTAAAAAAACCCATCTGCAGTACTTATTTACTCTCGGCATTTAAAGAACTATCTTTTTCCTGTGTTTCTTTTAACTAAACAAATATGAATATATGTAAATATTAGTGAAAATTATTTGTTTAAATTTTATTTCAAAAATTTGATCGGACAATGTCCGACCAAAATAACTTTTGGTCGGACATTTTGTCCGGGACCTTATAAAAAAATTAAATTAAACCCTGCATATATATATATATATATATATATATATATATATATATATATATATATATATATATATATATATATATATATATTATACATGCAAACGAAAAGATTTAAGCACAAAAGCACTGGCTAAACAGTGAAGGATAATGTATGTATATATGTATGTATGTATGTATGTATGTAGGTGTTTTATATATATATATATATATATATATATATATATATATATATATATATATATATATATATATATATATATATATATATATATATATATATATATATATATTAGGGTGGTCCATAAAACAACTTTTTTGAGAAAAACCTGCTGACACCCCCTAAATGTGTTTTATCTAATGCAAAAACACTAGGTTTAAAATTTTTTTGAACAAAAATTATTTTTAGGGGTAGCTCAAGGCCCTCAAAAATTTGACGGGTCCCTAATATTTTGAAAAAAAAAATTTTTCTAAAGTATGTCAACCTGGTACTCAAAATAAGCAAAATTATATAAAAAATTTAAAAATGATAATAATTTTTTATAAAAATAATTTTTTTAGGTATAAATGCATAAAAACTATTGTTTTTAAGCTGAAAATAAAAAAAGTCAATATTTTCAGGTTTTTTGAGAATAATTTTTTTTAGGCATGTTTTTTATGTAAAATGATTATTATTTTTGAAGTTTTTATACAATATCGCTTCTTTTGAGTACCAGGTTGACATACTTTAGAAAAAGTTTTTTTTTCAAAATATTAGGGACCCGTCAAATTTTTGAGGGCCTTGAGCTACCCCTAAAAATAATTTTTGTTCAAAAAAATTTTAAACCTAGTGTTTTTGCATTAGATAAAACACATTTAGGGGGTGTCAGCAGGTTTTTCTCAAAAAAGTTGTTTTATGGACCACCCTAATATATATATATATATATATATATATATATATATATATATATATATATATATATATATATATATATATATATATATATAGATATATATAGATATATAGATATATAGATATATAGATATATAGATATATATATATAGATATATAGATATATATATATATTTATATATATATATATATATATATATATATATATATATATATATATATATATATATATATATATATATATATATATAACAGCGTGTAAAATAACAGCCGGTCAATGGTCAATGACCAGTTAAAAAATAATCAGAATTTTGAAAAACAAGATTTGAAAAATAATCAGATTATTATTTGGAAAAGGCATGTACTAAGTTATCATAGAATCATTAAAAGTGCTCAAATTAGGCTTATTGTTTACAATAAGTTACTTAAATTCCTTTTGCTAACGAATATAACATAAAACATGACATCTAATAATTCTTTTCTTCACTTATTTAAATTACTTTATTTTATTGGTCGTGAAAATCTTTTTTTCATAAATGATTAAAGTTCTTATTTTATTATTAATTTAATAAAGTATTTAATAATAATTGTATGTAATATTTTATTAATTTTAAAAAATTTTGTCTTAAAACTTTTTATTTGTTTACTCATAAGTTTTTGCCGCAAACTGAATGAATGCTTGCTGACAACTAAAAGTTAACCGTTTATAATGATGCTCAATATTAAAAACATTTTGTTCATGAAAAAAAGTAAAAATTTCAATTTTTTTGACAATTAAGTATTCGCAAAATTTTAAAAATGAATGAACTTAATCTTTAGCTCACTTTTTTATTAGGCATTAGTAAAACGAAAACTATTTCAGAAAGTTTTTTTCCCTTCATATTCTTCTTGACTCGAATAAAAATAACGATGAAAATAAAGTAGAAAATTTTTATTAAAAAGTTATAGTTATTTTTAAACTTTAATGATTTAAATTTTTTTAAAAATCCATAGTAAATAGTAAAAGTAATAGTAAAACTTGTTTAATCTACACAATATTTTTATTATAAATAATTTTTTTTAATTCAATTTTTAAAAAAAGGTGTCTAAAAGCAAAGTGAATATTATTAGTAAAACTGTTCATTTAACTTTTAGTAAAAGTTAAATAAACAGAATTAATAATTTTTAAATCGAAATTAAAATTAAAAGCGTAGTTACTATGGTTAAGAAAAAAAAAACATAAGCGCTTATTTGCTTAAACTATTTTTTTTTTTTGTCTCTATATGTTTTAATGTCTTTACATGTTATATATATAATTTAATCTGTTATTTATAATATAATTTATATATATATTTATAATATAATTTAATCTGTTAATTAGTGATGAACATAATTAGTTTAATAGTGGCATTAGTAAGTGACGTCTTGAATTGTTATCCAATTTATCAAACTTCCATTAAAAAATTGTATCAATTTATCAAACTTTTTTTGAGAAATAAAATAAAAATCTGCGCGCTTAATTTTAAACATTGGCGTGTAATTTTGATGTTAGTTATTTGCAAGTTTAAAAAGGGAATACTAATTCGTTAATTGTCAAATATTAAGTTATTTTTGTATTTATAAAGTTCAGTCATGAAGAACTATTACGAAGATTAAAATGAAAACAAAGAAAATAATAAAAATGTTGACCGTCCAAAAAAAACAGTTGACCATCAATTCCAAGGGTTAGCCGGTCAAATTGACCGCTCGTCTTCGATTTCTTATTTTATACGCTGTATATATATATATATATATATATATATATATATATATATATATATATATATATATATATATATATATATATATATATATAATAACTTTGTATTTTAAATTCATTTGTGCTAAAGTTGAGGAAAGAAAAAAATTAGTTTATATTAAACATTTAAAAAATGTAATATTGATTTTATTTTTTTGATATTAAAATAAATTTAATGAAAATAATCATTCCATTATACGTTTCTGCATTGTTTTTGTTGATTGAGTTTTTTAGTTGATCTTGTTTTGCATAAATTTATTTTATTGCAGTATAAATTTATTATATTGCAGTAATAAATTATTATATTAGAAAATTAAAATATTTAAAAGAATTTTATGATGTCAATGCCACATTAAGATAATGTGTTAAACATTTTTTATTTAAAAGCTGGTATGCTGCTCCTCTATAGCATTTTTTTTCTGCACACAAAGTTAAAAATCGCGCCACCAAAGCAGTTTTGCTTCTTGGAGCGTTATTCAGCAAAGCCAGATTATTACATCTTAATATTACCTTACTAAATAAAAGACTTAATTTTCTAAATGAAAAACTTATTATTATAAATTATATTTACAAAATTTAAATAGTGAAATTAAACAGAAACTATATATTAAAATTTATTTCTCACTTCTATATTTATTACATTGTGAGATTTATTTATTTTTTTTAAACTAAAATTTTTACTTCTTTACATTTTAATTTTTACTTTTTTTTTAATTAAAAATTCTTAAAAAATCTTTTTTGTTATTAAAAGCACTTGAAATACTACTTATTGTTTCTAATCCTAAAAAATTACCACCTTAGTTTCTGTTTAAACTGACACTCATCCATTATTTATTTTTTCGACTAATTATTACAATAAAATGTATGGAATGTTCTTTGTGACATATTCACTTGACATGGTGACATGGTGACACTTGCATAAATACAGCATATTAGCTTTTTATTTAAGGATTTTTTTTTTAATATTTTTAGTTTTTTTAAGAAATAAAAATGTAATTTATGAATGTTTAAAGAGTAATTTTCTCTTTATATTTTTTTTTTAAGGATCCAAGAGTTCTTGATGCTATGCTTCCTTATATGATATCTCAATATGGAAATCCTCATTCAAGAACTCATTCTTATGGTTGGGAAGCAGAAAAGGCTGTTGAGACAGCAAGGCAAGTATGAAAAAAATGTTTTTGACACATACAGATATTATTTTTGCTGATTTTGTTAATATTTCATATAAATACAAAAAGAAAAGCGTCCATCCATAATTAATTTTTAATTTTTTTTAATTAATTCTTGTTTGTTATTTGTTATTGCTTTTTTTTTGAAGAGTGCTAAAATTGTTATCTTTCTGTAAATATAATCTTTTTTAATGTTATATAAACACAGAACACTGGTGTTTCTGCAATCAAATTAATAAAAAAAAAAAAAAAAAAGTAATGTGAATAAGCCCTAACAACCAACAGTTTTCTTTTTACTTGATTCTTTTGATTTTCTTTAAAAAAAAAATATAACACAGGTACACTTATATTTTACCTCAAATTGCATTAACATTTTTATCTATTACTTTGTGTGATAAAGTTTTGTTTTTATATGAAAATATTATTATTTTTAACCATGACTTACAATATTATTATACTAACAATATCAGCCCTCGGAAATAAGTAAAGTAAGGTCGGCAGTATTGTGCTGACCTTAATCTGTTATAGGTCAGCATCAGGTCGGCAAAAAAATTTGATACAAAGGTTTTACCATGAAACATAGAAACAAAGTTGGCGTTTTTTTGCTGACATCTAACACTTCTAGGTTGGCATTGCGGAATGCTGACCTTAATTTCGAGGGCTGCGACATATTTACATACAGTGTAACAATAGCTCCAAAAATGTTTGAGAACTTTTAAGCTTTTAAAGAAAAAGAAAAAAAAAATTAAATTTTAAAGAGAAAGAAAAAAAATCAGAACTCTCGTGTTCTTGAATCTATTTTCTTTTCTTCTTTTTTTTCTCTTTTTTTTGAATTTGGATTTCCATATTCTATATCATAATTTTCCTTATGGGTTTTAGGTTTGTCAAAATTTTATTCTAAAAATGAATCATACTTTGCATTTAAAAAAATGACGGCATCATAAATTTTATTGATTTTTAGACTGTTATAACAAAAAATAATTTAACTTTTTCAACTTAGCATGTTGGGAATCTAATAGGAGCAGATCCAAAGGAAATCATCTTTACCAGTGGAGCTACTGAATCAAATAATATTGCTATTAAGGTGATTAAAAAAATTTCAGTTATCTATAAAGTTACTGCAGATATTAATTATTATTGTTTATTTGTATAGTTACTATTGTTATTATTATTACTTTTATTATTATTTTTATTATTATTATCATTATAGTTATAATTATTATTATATAATATATATTTTAATTTATTTTTTTGTTGCGAAAAAGTATATATATATTAACTACTTAATACTGCACTATTATTTGTTTAAAATGTTTATGAATAAACCCGTTTTTTTTTTTTTAATAAAAATAAAAAAAACTTTTGATTAAACTTTAACTTTACTTTTTTAAAAAATTTGACTAAAATTTAATCTTATCTTGTCATTATAGATCATATAAATTAAATTTTAGTTTATGTGAAATCACGTAAATTAAATTTTAATTTTTATATTTTGCAAAACATAAAACAGCTAAATTATACTGGAGTGAGAATTCTACTAAGAGAATGAAATAACTTCATTTTCACCCTCTGGCATACTTTTTATTTTTGGTTTTAAAAAGTTAAAAAATATAATTCAATTTTAATTAAAATTAAGAGTTACAAGAGTAATTAATACATATAATAGCATCTAGAAGCTATTTTCAATTTATCATATCTATTAATATTGATATTTATATACATATATAATGAGAGTAGTAAGTGACCCATCTGAAAATGAGACTTTTCGCAAACCCAGCCCCGGCAAAATTATAAGATTTATCATGGGTTGAAATCCGGGGTTAGAAAAAATTTTAATACTTTTTGTATTATAGTTTTATATTTACATTTACTATTTTTTAAATACTGGCATATATCTATATATTTTTAAACTCTAATTTACTTTCAACAAGATTGCAAGCAACCACTATTAAGTTATGAGTTACTTTATAATAGTGGTTGGAGCTTATGCGCATATCAACAAATATATGTGCATACCATTCAAAAGTTATATGCGCATAGTATGCATATGATGCGCATACAAATTTAACAGATAAATGTTATATGAAATTAAATAAATATTGTCAAATATGGAAGAAAATGTTTTTTAAATTAGGCGTAGGTGACTTTAAGTTAAAAGAAATTATTTTTCATTTGATTTTCAGTAATTAATTTTATTTGTAAATATTTCAAATTATTTTCATGATTTTTAAACACATCTATATATCACAAAACTTAATATTTTATTTTATTTTTGTATTACATTTGCTCATTTATAATTTCTTCACACTCAAACTCGCTGAGAACTCCTACTTCCTCTAAAATGCAGCCATTTTTGTAGTTTGTATTTATCAAAACACTATTGGTATATATGAAAACTAATTTTTTTTAAGGTGTTCGTTTGTCAAGAGATTTTTCAATTATCAATGTATAAATCGGAAAATCAACCAAGTTCTCTCTTTTAATAGTGGAATTAAAAGTTGTCGACTTTTAATTCCACTATTTAAACTTATGATTTTTTGTTCCAAAAGACTATTAATTAAAAATTTCATGAAAACTAGAATTAAAATTCATTTTTGGGTCTGTCTGTCTAGTTAAAACAGTATAACGGTTTTTAATGATTTGTAATTGATAAAAAGTTATGCGCATAATTATGCAAATATATGTGCATAATTATACAAATATATGCACATAATTTATCAGCGACTATCTGAGCATACAAATTTTTCCTAACCCTACTTTATAATAGAGGACAGGTTAAAATATTAGATAATGATTAACTGAAGGCTTTAAAAGTTGCAGGATGTATTAAAAATAAAAACACAAAGATGGGGAAAAGATAAAGCACTTTTTGATGTGCTAAAACAAAAAACTGATTTAATAAAAGTTTTTATAGCATGAAGGGACAGATACAGTAAAAGGGCACAACTTGTTGAATAAAAAGTCAAGCAAAAATAAGTTTTGGTTTATCGTAATATTGATGATAGCCTATAAGCCTTAGGCTGCTATAGAAAAGAGAACTGAATAAAAACCAGAGCTTGTACTTTTTTTGTCAAGAAAAGAGTATAAAGTTGAGTCCTTATCTAATAGAGGTACTTTAGATGTAAAATTTTTATAGAGATTGTTATTGTAGATAAGAAACATTACAGGAACAAAGATAGAACTTTAAAAGGCAAAGATAGAACTTTAAAAAAAAACATTACAGGAGCATAGATAGAACCCTTGAAGTTACTTGAAATAAATTGGACTGCAGGTCTTCAAGAATAACTTTAATTCTGCTATTAGAAAGAAATAATTTATTAATCTTAAACACTTTATATAAAGAACCTAATAATTAATGTTATTAGTTATTAGTTTCTTTATATAAAGAGTAAAGACTACTTTTACCTCTCCAATTTTCGTAGGATAATTGGAGAGGTACAAGTGATTGCTTTTTGTTTTTGTTTTTTTTTACATCTTTGCTTCCAACAAGGCTGCAAGAAACCACTAATTAGTGTTGGAAGTTACTGGAAAAAAAAAGATAAAGATTATAGAGCAGGATAAGGATTGACAGACGACTTAAAAAATTGCAAATTGTATGAATCAGGAAAGCAAGATGAAGGAAGCGAATTCCAAAGAACTGATGTTCTTGAAAAAAACTAGACGAATAAGAGTTTTTGGACTGCTTAGGAACAGTAACAGAAAAAGGATAAGACTTAATTGAATGAAGAGTAACATGAGAATGAATTTTAGTAGATGGCACAAGAGACACTAGCTCTTTAGAGCAGTGTTCATTATAGTATTTGTAGAAAAGAGAAAGAGAAGCAATATTACGGCGATGTGATAGTGGTTGAAGGTTGGCTGCAAGAGCAAGTCCAACTATGTTTACAATGTGTTTTTGCACCTTGTCTAAAAGAGAAAGGCAATCATTAGAAGATCCACCCCAAATATGGCAACAGTATTCCATACCTGGCCAGATTTGAGATTTATAGAGATAGAGAATAGAATCCAGAGTAAGAAAGTGTTGAGCTCGATAAAGAGATGGAACTTTAGCAGTTGCTAATTTTGCAACGAATTTGATATATGGTTTCTAAGAAAGATTAGAAGTAAGAGTTAATCCTACAAGATGAAGGGTCGATGACTCATCGAGTACATTACTGTTCATAAGTATAGGAAGGTCTAAATTATTGCAATAACGATTGGCTGAAAAAAATTAAGTTTTATCTGTATTAAAGTTCACCAGCCACTGTGAGCCCCATGCTTTAGCAGAAGTGAGATCCTTTTCAAGCTCAAATCAAAGAGAATTCAAATTCAATTCCTCCTCCAAGCAATCAGAGAGAATTGGCTTCTTATCATGACAAGAATAAATGGTAGTATCATCAGCGAACAATGCCATCTTAGATTTGAGAATATCAAGAAGATCGTTAATGTAAATTAAAAAGAGTATAGGGCCAAGGATTGAACCTTGAGGAACCCCTGAGGTTACAGAATAAGAAGAGTGCTGTCTATTAAGGACAACTTTTATACTACGATTGGAAAGGAAGGATTAAATAATCTTAAAGATGTTTCCAGATACACCTTAAGATAAAAGCTTATGGAGAAGACCAGCATACGAATCTTCATCAAACACGTTAGAAATGTCAAGAGCGATGGCCTTAATCTAATTAAAGATCTCTCCACCTTTATGTAATGCATGATAAAACCTATCGGTTATTTCTGTTAGCAAATCAGCCATAGAACAAGAAGATCAAAACCCATAAATCAGATCGCTCTTCAGAATTTTTAAAAATAGGGATAACAGATGCTGCTTGCCAGCAGTCTGGAAAACAAGACTCTGATAAGCACTTAATGAATAGTTTTGAAAGGATAGAAGACAGCTCCGGAAAACTCCTCTGCAAGACTATAACAAGTATGTTGTCCGGGCCACAAGCTGTAGAAGAGTCTAAGCAGGAAATCACTTTAGATAGATAGAAGCTGGAGTGATACAAATGTCAAGCAATTGATCAACCTGTTTAACGGCTATATCAGGTAGAACGCAACTAATGGAATCAAGAGGTGATTAAAAGTTCTTAGCAAATAATTCAGCTATGTCTTTAGGTGAGGTGACAAAGTCTGAACCGTACAGAAGAGGTGGAATTACAGACTTGCCCTTGTTATTGATACTATTAAAGATTCTCCAGAAGTCATCGTAGCCTAATTTTTTTGATAAAATACAAGATTTCGTGACCTGAGAATATCGGGCTTTGGCGTTAATCAAAACTTTTTACAATGGTTCCTAGCAGTAATAAACAGATGTCTGTTTTCTGGAGAATAGTTTTGCTGATAGATATGGAAGTAATGGTTTCGATTGGTAATTGCAGCAGCACAATTTAAGTGAAACCATGGAGAAGAGTGAGGCTTGACCTGGAATTATCAAGAGGGAATAATGGATTCCATGCTAGCCTGAATCCACGAAGTTATGTAAGAAGCACGTTTGTCAACAGGAAGATGAAAGATTTCTACCCAAGGGCCATCACAAAGAAAATCACGGAAAGAGTCATATTCAGCTTTAAGGTAGTTGTAAGATGTGCTATGGTAGGGGGATTCTGATGATAAAGAAGAATGAGATAATAGTTTTAGAGAGATTAAACTGTGATCAGAGGCACCTAAGGGTGAATGTGGAGAAACTGAACACTGACTAGGATCAGAGTTAAGACATAAGTAGAGTAGACATAAGTCTAGAATTTTAAAAACCTTTTTAAAAGTTTAGCAAAAATTGTTAAGATTAATGGAGAACACTTTTTAAGACTATAATGGAAATCTTGTCTGGAGCACAAACTGTAGAATTTTTCAATTGAGAACTAATTTTAGCATTAGAAGCCAGGGTGATGTTAATGTTTAACAATGGATTAATCTGTTTAACTGGCAGGAAGAGTTGGCATCTATACATCTATATCAGTTCAAATGTTTTTAATTGCAGTCATTAAGTTCATTCACGCGTTAAGTTCAAACAAAAGAAAGCTTTACACCCTTAAGATTTATTATGTTATTGACAAGAAAATGTATTTAAATAATTTATATAACTCTAAAAGCACATTCTTTATTATGTAAAAATAACCAGCATTTACAAATTCAAGTAATCTTTACATATCAAAAAACCTGAATTAATGATATTATGTACAAAACGTTGCAGAGATTTTACAAACTTTCTTTGTACTATGGCCATTAGATTCAAGAGTTGAATAAGAGTAAGTTTTTTTTTGCAAAAAACTCTGCCTTATTCTGGGAAGAATTAAAAAGTCAGACCTGTGAATTAAAGAATAAATGTTAGGCTTAGTTAATGACACTGTTGAAGACTTACCAAAAGTCTCTAGAACCTAACATCTGAGATTTAGTAAACTTATAATAACAGAGCTTAACATCAGACAGAACTTTTTAACATTGGCTTCTCGGAATATTAAAAGGACATTTGTTTATAAGAGAGATGTTTTTTTAAAAAAGGTCAAAAAAATGATTTTTGTATAATAAAACAACTGCTCAAGATGCGGAATAGAATGAGGCTTGACTTATTATTAAAGAAAAGCTTATAAGATGCATTTTATGCATACCTATTATGGGTATAAACATATATTTTTGCTATTTATTTAGATGCTGGCAAATAATATTCTTTTATATCTATATAAACTTATATATATACATATTATATAATATTATGTATTATATGTATTAACTGATTTAGGTATCAGCATGTAGAGAGTTTTTAAGTATAAACATGTAGAGAAGCTTTAGAAGAAGGTGGTAGTGGTAGAAGTAAGTAAACTTGAAGAGAATACCTTATATATTGTAAGGTTTAGTTAAAAAAAGAAATGCTCTAGATTGTTTATATTAGAGAAACAGCATAAAAGAGGAAAGCTAAAGCCTGATGATGACGATGATGATGATGATGATGATGATGATGATGATGATGATGATGATGATGATGATGATGATGATGATGATGATGATGATGATGATGATGATGATGATGATGATGATGATGATGATGATGATGATGGTCGTGATCATGATGGTAATGATGGTTATGATGATCATGTTAATCATGTTGATCATAATGATGTTTATATATGCATATATATACAAAATATAACATGAGTTTTGAATAAATAAATATACTTTAGGATGTTTAATTGTTTATGCAGCCCCAGTCATAAACCTGGCCCCAGCTATATTTTATCAAACCTGGCCCTGGCCCGGTCAAATATAACCCTGGTGGTTTACTAAATGAGAGAAAGTAAGACTCCCTAGCCTTGTGTTTAAATTGTTTTTAATGAAAACCATTTAAACCGCACAAGTAGCCATAGTTAACTATATTAACTGCAATAATTATTTTGAATTATTTTAAGTTATTTAAATTATAGTTAACTATATCAACTGCAAAAATTATTTTAAATGTAGGTTCAAAAATCATTTATACTGTTTATTCTTTTTTTTATGATGTTGAAAATAAATAAACAACTAAAATTAAATTTAACATTTTAAGTCTAGAATTATACAAAAATAGAAGATTACATTATAATTATTTATATAAAGATTATTCTGATATGGATTATTATACTAGCAATAATGTTGCTTAAAGCGTTTTTTTTTTTTTTACCTAACAAAAGGAGAAGCCCAAAATTTAAAGTAAAATTTAACTTCTTTAAAAATATTTAATTTGTTGTCTAAAATTAACATGTTAATCTAAAAATAATATGGCCTTAAAAATAGTCTCATTTTTTGATATTTGCTCTAATTCTTTAAACATAATTTAAAGAACTTTTAAACTTAAATAAATTTAACAAATTAAAAAATTTAGTTTGAAACTTTAAACTTATTTTCTAAGCTTTATTTAAGAAATAAACACAGGTATGTGGTAAGTACTACATCCCCTTCACTACACAGGTATGTATGTAAACACAATTAAAAGTAGCCTTCTTGACTGTAGTGGCTTTCTCTGCCTTGAGGTAGTAAAATAGTTGTCTAAAAGTATTAAAAAAAATTTATAATTCAGGTAAAAAATTTAATACTTTCTGTGAAAGCTTTTTAATAATGAGTGAAGCCAAATCACTCTTAATAACTAAAAAAAAATTATTTTTGCCCTTTTTTTTAAAGGTTCTTTTTCTTCAATCCATGTATTTATTTTTGTACTTTTTATTATTGTTACAGGGTGTTGCTAAGTTTAATAAAAGAAAAAAAAATCACATTATAACCTCACAAACTGTAAGTAGTAAGTTTTTTAAAACAAACTTGTTTTAATTTAAATTTTTAAAGAGTTTTTTGTTTTGTTTTTATTGTGAAGTTTCTTTTAAAAATTTTTAAATTTAAATGTTTTCTTTCCAAGGAAAAATAAATCAATTTGATTCATGTTCAAATTAAATGATTGTTAAGTTTGAGTATAAAAGCTCACTGTGTGAGTTTCTAGTTTTTAATTTATATGGAGTTTTAAATTTCTCTTGTTATAAAACAATTGAGTGAAAAGTTTGAGAAAGTTTTAAAAGTATATGTCAAAGAAATATATTAATTTTAAGTAGTATTAGGGAATTGGTTTAAAAACTTTTAAACCGTATTTGAAGTAGTAAAACCAGGTTTGAAGTAGTCTTGATAGAAGGCTTTATTTGAATTTTTTTAACTTATGGAAAATGTTGCAACAATGTGGGTTTTTAATTTGAGCAGGGTGGTGGAAAAGAAAATCTAACCTTGTAACAAGTAATATATAAAATACATGTTTTCTTTTAAATTAACTTTCTTTATATTTATTTATTATAAAGTATAGCCTTGCCATTTGAGTCAATATAAACCTGTAATTGCTAATATGCTTCTAAGTATTTATGATTTAACAATACAATTATATATTTAACAGGAACATAAATGTGTGTTAGATTCATGTCGATATTTAGAAGGAGAAGGTTTTAATGTAACCTACTTACCAGTTAAATCCAATGGACTAGTAGATATTCAGGTATCTTGTTTTAATGTTTTAATTCTTTTTATAAATTGGAAAGTTAGTTCATACATAAACACACATGCACGCACACACACACACACACTCAGATATATATATATATATATATATATATATATATATATATATATATATATATATAGTAGTAGTAGTAGTAGTAGTAGTAGTAGTAGTAGTGTCACTTTCAGCTTGTTTGACACGGAACCTTTGGTGGCCATTGCAACCAAGGTAGTGGCGAGAAAGAATCGCAGCACTTAGTTTTATAAGAAAACATGAAC